AAAAAAAAAAAAAAAAAAAAGAATTTCAAGGTTGACTGTAAAGATAACCTGACTTTGACATTTGCCTTGCTGTTGATGGTTAGCAATGCTTTTGCTGATGTGCCTAGCTAGGAATATGTTCTTCCCATTCCTTATCATTGCAAGCTGGTCTCTCCCTCTCTTCCTAAGTTGCATGAAATTTCCCAATTAGGGAAGGACTATTCTTTGGTAAATTTCAGGAAATGCCCTAAATCCAAATGCCCGGTGCATTTTCCAGTTTTGGATGTATAGTTTATTCATCAGATATTCATTAAATGCCTATAATATGTAAGGCAATGTGCTAAGTTATAATAAGGAGCTCAGAAAGATGCATAAAGCATGTTTCCTACTCTTAAGAAATTAATGGGATGGAAAGGGCCACGTTTGCAAATAAATAAAATAGAGGATATCAAGACAGGTGTCTTAAAAGAGATACAAATGAGATTTAGAAGTCCAAAGACTGTAACAAGGAACATAAATAACACTTACAGAATCATGACTTTAAGTACAATTCTCTATCGGAAAAATAATTGTATACAAATTCCTACCAACTGTAATAAGAAACACATTTCTATGTACCCTTTTTGTTTTACCCTCCCAAGTCCATCAAGATCAGGGCCATATTTCCTGATCTGAAGGATGGCTCCTGAGACTGAGGTAAACCCCCTGGGAAAGAGGGACACGCCTGTATTTGCAGACACACCTCTTATCAATGACCTCATTCTATACAGACTCACAGCCTGGTCTGTGTGACTAATCAAAAAGCCTATAAAACACTGGCCTCAGGTAAACCAGCTCTCCTTCACATAGAGAGGGTCCTGGAAGAGTCACTGCACATACTGCATATGTGGCGTGGTGACTGATACTGGAGTGTGTTGTTGACAGCAGTCTCAAAAACAAAATTAAGAACTTTGCTTTGATCTCATGGCTTTTACTATATGTTTCACTTACTGGGAAATTAATCTCATATGTCTCCTGGCCTGTCTTCTCTCACTGTCATTTTACACGCTTTGCCCATCACTACATCAGTTATGTGGTCTTTTCACTATCACCTGGTTTCCTATCTTGCTCACTGGACTGTAGTTTCTGTATGGCATCCCCAGTACCTAGCCCAGTGCCTGACACATTGTGTGTATAGAATGAAGAATGAGAAGTTTAACTTTGCATGTGCTTTCCCTGTCTGTCCAAGTGAGTGTGCTACTGGGGGCAAAGGCCACTATTCTGCATCTTTTATATCACAGGGCCTGCCACACAGTACTCAATGAATCCAATAAGATTGATGGGAACAGCTTCTTTTCACCATGGTTGGGGTTTATGCCAGGCATAAAACATGATGAAAGTGCACTTTGAAGAAAAAGTCTTTTTTTTCCTTTGGGGATGTAAACTGGCTTGTTTCCTGTCTCAGTTTGAATCCAGGGACTGAGGCTATAACCTAACTCAGGAGGCTCTTAGCTGCCTTCTCTCTTTTCCAACTGGATAAATAATTTAGCCCATTACAGTGCCAAGTCCTAGCTGCAGCGTTTCCAAGGAGGGGACACACTGGCCTCGGTTAACAGCACAGCTCTGCTGTTTCTGGGCCCTATTTCAATGTGGCACTCGGGTAGTGAGAGCTTTCTCAGCATAACAAAAAGTGGAATTTCCTATTGTTGGGCAAGAAGGACTTAAAGAAGAGGATTTATCCATAGGCGTTGAACCCAGCAACCCCCCCGTAAGGTAAGAATAAGATGATCTAGTTGTCTGTTTCTGTGAGATCCAGGACAGATGTTACTAGGCTGGTTTGTATTACACCCCTTCAGAAGACCAGTAAATGAAAGCAAAGAGATGAAATGGGAGTCACTGGAGTTGGGTTGGGGCACATGGAGCAACCAGCATCCTGAATCTAGCTTACAAGTTTCACATAAAAGCCCATTAGAAAGATGTACCCAACATGATGCATATACAGAATGGTTATTATTCTCTTGATTTTTGGAATAATTAGAGTGTTGTCATTTTTGTTGCTCTATTACCAAGTATATTTAATTAAAATGTTCAGCCCTTACTCTGCAAAACTAGCCCTTTCTATTTGGTTGGCAGGGAGTTCACACACTCCACTCAAGGGGTGACATGAGCTTCCAGGGTGCTCTGTCTTTGTTTTTGACCATTAATGCCTGAACACATTCTCTGTCTCACTTGGATGTAATTCCACCATCAAATACACTCTATTAGCAGCAGACTTAATGAGCTTAAACTGAAGGTGAATCCTGATTAGGTAAATAATCAAATGAAAGCATGATCTTTATTAATAAGTCAGCACCAGCATTACAAGAGAAACCTTTTGATGAGTGAAGTCCTGGGGTAGGATCAGCACATCTGTAGAATTTCAATGAGATACCTCCATATCTTTAATTTATATGAACCTCTGAGCATGACTTTTCTTTATTCGAAAACAGATAAATGAATAGAAATTATCTTTGCAAGTCATATCCAAATGGACCACAAATGCAAAATATATACCTTTTTTTTTTTGGTGTGTAGCGGAAAGGGGGAAATTATAGAAGAGAACGATGCCTCCCCCTCTTTTTTATCATTTCTTTAAAGACTCCCGATGCCTCCCCCTCTTTTTTATCATTTCTTTAAAGACTCCCTCTTCTTGTATGTGTGGCTATTTTAGATTCTTTCCCTTCTGGGGGGTGTAGGAGTGAACCTCTCCTCCCACACAAAGCCTGGGAGGGAGCTGGCTGAGGCAGAGGGGAGTGGTACTCTCTGCCCAAGGTGCCCTTGAATGCAGCGGTGCTGGCTCCCAATGCCCTCTGCCTGCAGGGTCACCTCAAGGTGGCAGGCTTATTCTGTATTTTCCCCCTGGTGTGATCCAGAATAGTAGGGGTATTTTGTAATCCTTTGGACAAGCTCCCAAAGTTGCTTGCCTTGCCAAACCAGCCTTAGGGGAAAAATATACATATATTTATATTTACTATTGTTGGCACCCATGTGCCCTGGAAAAAGGATGTGGACCTTGGAAACACACAGACCCTGGTCCATACCCTGTGTCACCATTTGCTAGCTAGACAAAGTTGGTCAATTTAATTTCTCTCAGCCTTTTCTCACCAGTAAATTAAGGGTAATGACAGCAATTCCACAACTTGTTGCAAAGATTAACTTATTAGGCAACCACGTAAAGGCAGAGATGGGTAAGGAGGAACTCATATTTGTTGTATACCTATTCACAAGTATTACCACAGGAATTTTCCTTTAATATCTATTCTCACGCACGGTGTGTAGACAAAATGGCTAGCATGCAGGAGGCATCCAAATGTTGATTCTCATTCTCTTTCATGTTCTAGGATGTTACCTGGGTAACCAGTGTTTATTAAAGTTGCTGAAATCCTACCTTTGCTTACTCTCAATTTAATTATTTGCTGTGTCTATAATTGACAGTTTACTGACTGTATGGTCAAATTGCCCTTAATAGTTTCTTCTAGGGTTGGATAGAGAGATTCAGGAGGCCAAAGGGCTAAGGAATAGGCAGAGCCTTCCTCTCAGCCTTTAGATGGAGGGAAAAGCTCCTGACATGACTTAGAGTAACTCATTTGGTTGTAAACGTTTGAGAGTGGCAGGAGCTGTTGGTGGACATCACAAAAGATACAAAAGGATTTTGCAATTCGTAGGCTTCTAGGAGTAAAACTGGCCCATATATCTGAGTGGATGGGCTGCTTTCTGACACATGTCAAACATAATCTATTCACTGCTAATATAATGCTTGCGAAGATTTGTTTCATTCTCACACAAGTTGTCAGCTCTCTGATTATTTTTTCCAACTTCATTTCAGAATTCTAGCTTTGGTGCCTAAAACCCTAGAAAACATGAACCTAGCTCCTTGCCACTTTCTAAAGTCTAACACAGGGGGGTCTTGGGTATTTTCAGAATAAAGCCCAACACTACAAGGCTGACAGCCGCTTATCTGCCTTCTACGAAATTCTGGATGATACTGTGCAGTGCTCATCAACAGAGTGCCTGGGCTCACAGAACAGGGCTGCTGGGGCCCCCTGTACTGCGGCCATTCTCCATTCTCTTTAACTGCTGGCCTTCATAGCCCTTGATCAGCTTTTTCTTGCCAGGCCGGGAAAACACAATCATTGTCTGCATTTTGTTTGCTACCTCACACAGATGACTGTGAAAATCAAATAAAAGAGCTTCAAGGGAAGACCAAATTCCATTTGCTGGAGCTTGATTTTGCTTTATTTTGGAGGGAAAAATCAATTACTGGAATTGTCTGATAACTTCCAAGTGGAAATATAGATGGTCTAATAGAATGTTCTGGAGCTGGGCCCTGAGTGCCAAATAAACTGCAATTATACAATACTGTCCCATCTGATCCTGAGTGACCTCTATGCTTTTGTGTCAACCCAGCAATGGGAATTAGTGGATTTCCAGTCAAGTCTGGGCCTTTGAAACCCTAGGCCCATCTTTTCCTTGTCTCTTCTCCATACTGTCACCAGTTTGTCCGGCAGGGGTCCCAGCAGGTCTGAAGCCTGGCCCATAAGGGGAGAACACAGAGGAGTGGGACATGGTAGGTGGAAGCGAGCTTAGGGGATGGCTCATAGATGCCACAGCAGGCCAGAGGTGCCAGCTGCAGAAGAATGTCACCACAGCCCTCCTCTCAGCAGTCATCCAACTCTGCTTACTGCACCTCCTTGGCGCCTCCCATACCCATCCCTTCCTCTACAGGGACCAAGTCTTGGTGACCCAGCTGCTCCTAACTCCTCGCTTGCCTCGTCTGCCCTTCTCCCTCCTGCACCGCCCCTGCCCCTGAGGCTCCAGAACACTCAACCGTTTCCCAAATAAGAAGGCTATTTGTCTCTAGGCCTAGGCCTTGGTTTGGGCTGATCTCTCTGCCTAGAATGGCCTCTTCTCCTCTTCAACTTGGCAAACCCCTACTCCTCTTATAAGGCTCAGCTCTATCTTCAACCTCTCACAAGCCTTTCATGTCTCCACACAGAATTGGCCATTCCCTCTTTCGGCTTCCGCTGTCCTGAACAGAAATCAAGGTTCCTATGAAAATACATTGCTCTAATTTATCTCCCTATATGCCTCCTTGTTAGATGAGACTGTAAGTCCCTTGAGGGCAGATGTCTAATCACATCCGTATTGCCAACACTCTCTACACTGGGTACAGACAGTGAAGACAGAAATACTGAAAGGAATGCATGAATGGGTCAGCTCCTTACCTATGTCCTAGGTATCTTTTTTTTCTTATACTATTTTCACTGGGGGGACTAGGGGGTTTCAGAGTGTGGCAAGTCTTAAATCCAAAGAGCTAAAAGCTGGCCGATTATAAAGTTCATCTTCTTAAGAATATAGGAATCTAATCTCAGCTACTGAGAAAAATGACTGCTGTCTGTTGTTGGGCTCATCTTTTCCCCCCAGATTTGCCTGCCTAATACTGATACTTCTATGAAGTGGTACTGCAAAGAACTATTCGTCAAACCTATTCCACAGCTTAAAAGTGAAAGATACACAAAATATAAGTCCTTGAAGGCAAGGCCTACATCTTCATATTCCGAGGTGCCAAGCATAATATCTTTCTTCTAAAGGATACTTGACAGTATTTGTGATATAAATATTAAAGCAAAAAAGATCATAATTCTTTGGCATATTTATCTTGTGTCTAAGTGAATTGAGTTACAGAAAATATGCACTCATTTCCATATTTACCCAAGAAATGGTAGAGGAAGGGAGTGACAAAAATATTGATCGCATGTATGAATTAGGATAAAGGAAGAAAGATAGTACATTTTACTCCAAATGATAGTTTTTTGGCAATTGATATTTTCCTCTTTAAAGCACAAAAATTTTCCATTTCAACTCTTTATACTGTTTTAAAATATGTATTATGTTCTTTTCTGCCTTAGTGAACTGAAGGTACCAAATATAGTGGAACGTTTTCTTAAGGATTCAGGAGTAACAAAATAATCTTCTGTTTATAATATACCATGGATATCGATGGTTGCACACAAAGCTGCACAAAGACATGCCTAAGATTTGCTTTCTTAAACAAATCCTTGTTATTGGCATCGTTTATCTTTCTTTAACAATTTACCGCTTTTTCATAAAAGCAAAGCACAGAATGTGTAGTTGTACAACCCTTTGCCTGTATAACATTAAGCTTTCCTGCAGACACACACTAGTAAATCAGAGCCTGAGACAGCATTCTCCTAGGATATTTCTTATCCTCCCGCAGTAACATGAGCACTGTCCTGTGGGGCTTTCGCAGTGTAGAAGCTTCCAAACATTCTAATTTCAGAATCAAACACATTTTAAACTTTTAGTTAATTTAAGCAATCTAAAAGTATATTTTGGATACCCCCTCATGTTTATACTAGGTGTCATAGAATAACAAGTTTGAGGGTTTTTTTTTTTTTTTTTTTTTGTCCATAAGACCCTCAGAGTCTGCTGGGAAATAAAGGACAAATATGGAAACATACATAATACAGGATTATAATTACACACTGATGAAATAAAGTGTAATTTCTAACTCACTGTCACGATGATATATAGAATGATAACTCTCTGTGAACTTGTGGGATATCAATGATAAAAAATACTATAGCTAAATTGCAATTTGGGAGCCACAGGTAAACTTTGGTCTTTTAGAGGACTTCTTTCTGAGTTACTCACTGAGGATGCGAGATAATAAAGGTTTAAAACCCCTCATATGCTTAACTGGAAATATATTT